CAACAAACGCTGTAAAATTGCAAATCAATCCTGCACCAATTGTTATTATCACAGTAAAATAAAACACCAAATGATTTTTTCCTGAAAATACGTATTTGAACTGCAAATCTCATGTGTTTATGAACACTTTTAGACGATGACTGGGGCAAAAATGTACGGAAAATAGTGGCATTTGTTGAATACGACAGTGGCACTAATTTCTCAAATTTGAATTTAGTTAAGGTTGAGGTCACTTTTTCCGTGAATGGTCACAAATGAGGATCCTTCGGACTAAACAGCATAAGAATCTACAACGACGTCACTAAGATTATGTAAGACTTCCTATTCAGGCACCCAAAAGTGCATTTAAGTTGTACTGTCGTTGTTACATTAAGACAAATATGCAGAAAATATGAGGTGAATAGCAAGAATGTGCGTATATTTCTCTTGAAGCTGAATAATCGAGAAGAGGCACAATCTTGGCGACAGGGGCACATGCGAAAGGTCGGAGAGGTCCTTTAAAACAATCATTCACGGGAGAAGGAACCTCAAAAAGCAAGAAACTGCACTTTAGTGCAACTGTAGGTACGATGATTACATCTAAAATTCGAAGTGAAGGTAATTTTTCTTCCAAGCTTGGTGCGAAAATGGATTCAAACCTAAAATGTCATTTTTGGTTGAATTATTGTATGAGATCAAAAGAAAAATCTTTAATATTTTCAATTAGAAATTCCCAAAACCCTCCTAGTCAGAGGGCCATTAGCGCGGGGAAATTTGGTTACATTGAAATAGAGTTTTGTTATTTCGTTAGGGAAATTACGAAAAAAAGCTTGTTGTAACTTCTGTTCCCCCTCGAAGATTTCGGTAAGGGATTCGGATCAGGAAATCATATTCCGGTTTTTAAATCAAGTTCGACAAAATAGCTTTCTTCAAAAGTGTACGTTCAAGCATCGAAGTTCTTTTTCTCTTTCTTTATCTCTGGAACGACCAAAGTCACGTCTGGACAATAGTAAAACTTCACACTGACAGACTTTTTTCAGGAGCGTTCAATCACTGTGAAATCATAGAAGCATACCTTAGAATTCAGAATTTAAAATCGAGATTTCAAGGATTAATATTACAGTCTAAATTCTGGACTCCAGAAACCGATAGCAGTTCAAGCTTTCAGAATTTATACACGCGAAGAAACGGCTGCAATTATGGCCGCGAGCAAATGCTGATGATTGACCGATCCGAGGTCATTTCGCTTAATTCCTTCAACTTCCGATTTCAATGGGCCTGTTGCATGCAAGAGATACAGCCGCGCGAATAAACTTTTTAGAGGTTAAATGATACGAAAATTACGATGGTCACATTAAAAAATTCTGAAATACACTCCTTACTGCGCAATTTGCGTTGTTAGGAACGCGCTTTTTCAAATTTCCCGCGTCTGGGGGCAGTTTTCTAATCACCGGAAACGAGCAAACGACGGGCTCGAAGATTTCCGGAAGATGCCGAGTCGTTGTTGTTGTTGTTATTTTTTCCTTCAGCTTGTTTACAAACCCAACGTGATCTCTTATAGTGGTCCATATACGCTTTATGCGGTAACCAAATCTATCAACTTTTAAACATCCAACGCAATCCTTCTACATTTCCTTTCACGATATCATATCCAATTTTTAGGTTATGTTGTCAGTTTTAGTTGACCGGAAATAGCCGCGAGTTGCCGTTAATTGTTTCCGTTAGAAAACTGCCCCCAGACGGGGATTTTGAAAAAGCGCGTTCCTAGCAACGCAAATTGCACAGTTAGGAGTGTATTTCAGACTTTTTTAATGTGACCATCGTAATTTTCGTGTCATTTAACCTCTAAAAAGTCTATTCGCACGGCTGTACCTCTTGCATGCACCAGGCCCATTTCTGGAGCCTGTGGGAGCATTTTCAGTGGAGGTACAATGTAGAAGTCTAAAGTTCCGATTTTTGGTCCCAAACTTCTCAAAACAATTTCCAAAAGTTTGGGCGGCATAAAAAATCAAAACTTTACAGAGGCGTTTTCAGCGCGGAAAGTGCGTTTACACTACACTACCGTGCTAAGGAAAAATGCCGTAAGAAAATATGAAAGTTGCCAAATTCTCTACACTGAAATATTAATTTTTGAGGAGATTTACGAATATTTTCTCTTGAAATGTTTAATAATTCTAAGCACGGAGAAAATCCACTGTAAACTTAAAGGAAAATATCCACGAGTTGTCCTGAAAATTCGTGCATAGCGATAGGAAATTTGGCATCTGACGGATGTTCATACGGTTTTTTTTTTCTCAGCACGGCACTACAGGGCGAGTCAATGGCGAAGCTGTAGAGGAGGAGGTCCAGGGTGTCTGGTTCCTTTCCACCCTAGAGCCAAAAATTTCTACAAAAATCTAATTTTCCATGATATTCAGGATTATTTACCCTTGAATACTCCGAAACTTCCGACCCTTGCGAACTATCATCTACCCTCTGTTTCATGGGTCCGTTACCGATTTCGGAGAAAAAATCTACATTGTACAGTGTTTTAAGGATTATAGGATTAGATGAAGTCCCAATTCATAATTTTTTTTTTTTTTTTATTTTATAGAAAGTTTGGAGATTAGATCTCCAATCCTTTCCGAAAACCATGTGTTGCTTTGGCGTAATTTAATGCCACAGAGAATCAAAGCCAAGAAAGCATTTGTTGCTTTCATGCAACGCTATGCAACAAAGGGTTAATGGAGATGTTGCATGTGTGAGGGATTTGCGATTTGACTGTTGTTTCTTATGTACAAGTTCGCGAGGAACACGATGGTGCCACTAGTTTTCACTGAAATTATCTCCCAAGCTCAAAAAAAGCTCTCAAAGTGAGGCCAAAATGGAGAGGATATCCCGCCCTACCCCGAGAGTCCACCTCTACATCAAAACAAACTCTCCATGCAAAGATAGGGAGCAAATACATTGACAGGGCTGCATAACTTTCTTTGGGGACTCCAAAACTGAAAACACGGCAACCCTGCTATTGTATTTGCTCCCTATCTTTGCATGGAGAGTTTGTTTTGATGTAGAGGTGGACTCTCAGGGTATGGGCGGGATATCCCCTCCATTTTGGCCTCACTTTGAGAGCTTTTTTTGCGCTTGGGAGTTGATTTCAGAGGAAACCAGTGGCACCATCGTGTTCCTCGCGAACTTTCACATAAGAGTCAGCAGTCAAATCGCAAATCCCTCACACATGCAACATCTCCATTATACCTAGATCCCCAATCCCCATGATAATGTCTAGGTACGCGACTGCTGCGAGTCACTGAAGATTCATCATGACAAATCAAGTGATCTGTCTTTGTTTTAGTTCCAGTAATCCATATCCACTCCAGGCGAAAATCCTCAACTGAAGCACTCAACAGCTCCATCCTCCTGCTGACATCAAGATGAGGTGGGAAAGGTCAAGAGACAACTGTAAGACAGTTTTACTCCTCCTCGCCGTACTCCGGGGTGCCGAATGTTTCAAGGCTCTTTTCTTGTTTCCTTTCCCTGGAAAAAGTCATTTCGGAGCGCTGAGTGTTCTCGCTGAAGAGCTCGCTCGCAAAGGTCATGACGTCACGGTTCTGACGCATTTCCCGAATAAGGAGGCCAGTTACAAGGAAATTGTCTTGGACACCAAACCGTTCGATGATTTTATGAAGCAAGGTATTTCTGAGATACTTCTTTTTAAAAGCCCATGTAAGACTCTTGTAAGTTGACTCTTGAATTATGTGAGATGCTTGATTGGGTTCCTCCTGGGAGGAGACGAAGGGAACGCCCTGTGGAAGGGTGGCGACAGGGGGTTTTAGATGAAATGAAGGTGTGCTAAGTCCTTGAGGGGCACTGAGAGGATAGGGGACTTTGGAGGCTTGGTGTCGCAAAGCACCAGAAAGCGCTGAAAACCGGTTTTATATGTATGTATGAAATGTATGTACGTAAGAATCTCGGTTATCCGACACAGTAAGTCGCACAATGGATCGAGTCAATTGGAGAGGTCGGATATGAAATTTTTGACTGATTTGACTTTGAAATCAACAGATCCAAATCAATTGTCAATGTTGTATCAATTGTCAATGTTGTATCAATTGTTACCACTGTCTAAAATTAAGTTATGGCCTTTGTAATCAACACTTTGTGACCCCGACGATGAAGCGCTTGCTTTGAAAAGCTTCAGTAAAATTGGACTTATTTCCGCCGAACGAAACTATGTGCATCATGACGTGAGCCCTGTTGTGCACATATTTTTATGGGTCTCAGGGCTCATGCCTTAATGCAAATAGTTTCGTTTGATAGAAATACGTCCAATTTTATGAATAAAATGTAAGTTTTTCAAAAAATGTTAAAATATTTCTGGTACTTGGCTACATTCCACATACCGAAAAATTTAAGGTGCTACTACCTGTAGGACATTGTGCAAAAGTGCAATGTTTGCTAAACTTATTGCAGAATTGTCAATTCTCTTTATAAACGCAATGTCAGTCTAAGTCATCCATTTGGTGATTGGTTGTTTCAGACGTGAATGTGACAGAGATGGGGACACTGAACCCTCTTATGATGCGCGCTATCCTCTTCCCTATTTTCAACACCGTCGCTGAGTTGTTGTACGCTTCGGAACCGTTCCGCAAGCTGATTGCATCGAAGGAGCGTTATGACGTCGTCTTGGGGGAAGTTACGTTCTTTATGCCGTGCATTCTTGCTTTCGGTCACAAGTTCTCTGCTCCTGTCATAGACCTATCCGCTGCTTCCGTTATGATTAGCATCGCCAGTAACATGGGTAAAACAGTCTACTTACATTGAATGTTACACATGGCTATCGTGATGAATCCTTGCCAAAGTGCCTTCATTTCTTGGCTATACAACACGCTTGACCGTTAAGCGGGAAAAATGGACCACTTGAATAGGTACGAATTTAAGCATTCTGATACATGTTTCCTCATTCACATTGGAAAAAAAGTCGCTTGGATCTAGAGTCCAGCCTCTTAAAAACATCGACAAGAAAAAAAAAACTCTTGATTCAATCGGACTTATTGCTCGAATTGAAAGGAAATCCGTCTAAATCAAGATGCTCGGCTTTTCAATTCAAGGAAAAATCGGATTGAATTAAGAGTATTTTTTTTTTTGTCAATGTTATTAAGAGTCTGGACTGTGGATCCAAGCGACTTCTTTTCAATGAACCAAATTTCCCGTAAAACACGATTCTCGCATTGAAAATTACTGAAACCAACTCCTAACTAAGATATTAACAGGTTTTTATTCCTACTGTTTACGGAAAATTTGCGCTCCCGGTCACAAGAAACGCAATACTCTACGTGAGTCAAATCGCGCCTCGCAACAGTGTTGGCGGTCTCCTCAATCGAGCATTATTCCTTTCCCACTCTTTCATTATTCGAAGTGTAAACAATTTGCTATAGCTGAGCCAAAGCGTCAAGATTGAGGTTAACATATTACTGTATCACTGAGACTGCCAGGGTAACGTTCAATGTACGATTTGACTCGCCATTGCGTCATCATGAGCGGAAGATTTGAATTCACGCGTCAAGAAACGTATAATATTTGGGCTGGGAGTTAATTTCAATATTTTACCTTGCGCGAATCGTGATCTACGTGAAATTTTGTTTGAGATACATGTATTAGAATACTTAACTTCGTATCTTGTCTAGTGATTCATTCTGCCGTGCCAAGGAAAAACGCCGTATGAACAAATTTCCTCTCTTAAAATATTAATTTTTGAGACAAATAATGAATATTTCTACTTGAAATTCTCTGATACTTTAGATCACAGTGCGAGGAAAATTCTCCGGAAAATTGGACGGGAAAATTTCACAAGTTTTCATGAAAATTCGAATTTTACCGAAAGAAATTTTGCAACGCACGAAGGCTCATACGGCGTTCTTCCTTAACACGGCCGCATTGCGGCACGTCAGGCGTTGCCTTAAAGTAGCTTTCGTCGGGTATGGGCAAGTAAGAATATTTGATCTTAGAAGCGAATAACTATACGTACAGGTATCATACCACTGACCAATAAGATGTTTAAAGAAGCCATCGATTTCTTTTACTGTAGATCTTACTTTTGTCATTGGACGAGATGCTGGAAATTATTTCTATTGACGGCTAGCCGCTGCACTGAATGTGCGGGACATTATAGGTGCAACGCCGCTTTAAGTGTATGCTTAACTTTTGGGCTCAGGACATTTTGTCAACGATTTTTAGTCCGCGCACCTTTTTTGTCCAGTAGTTTACGCCCACACGTAAAATAAGCAACAGTGATTTGGTCCAAGCGTTATATTTTAGTCGGTATGTAAAATTATATTGACGATATGGAAATGAGAAATTGAGAGAGAAAGAGGTGTTGTTATGGTTGCTTATTTTCTAAATGAAATGTTATCACTTTCCCCTTTTGAATCATATTTTTAAATTGTCATTGGTGAATATTTGGTTTTATTTCTATTCTTAAAATATTCGATGTACAATATACCTTATATATGTGAAGGTACTTTTTTTTATTTTTGTAATTTTTTCTCAACGAAATTATTACTTCATTTTGAAAACATTTATATTTTTAAAACGTTGCAAATATTTGTAAAACCTTTTCCAAGCGACATTAATCTCAATGAGCCGACAGAAACTGCAAAAATGAATAAAAGAAGGAAAAAAACCAAGAAGAACGCAATCTTTAGTTTTAACCCATTTGTACATCGATCTTTTAGAGTCAAATACGTCACATTTTTAGCGTTTGGTTGCGCGTATACCTCGCTGCAGCACAATAAAAGCATAACATGTAAAAGAAAAAATTAAAGTGCTTATTGGAAATCATTAAATTTGATACGGAACCACCAATATTTAAAAAACACACATTACATTATTATTCTCCTTTGATAAATTGATACATCATTTTTTCCCATCAATTTAAATGAGAATAATCAATGCAGAGTGTGCAAACATCTCAAAATCATGAGTTAAAAACGCTGACTATGCGCGTATAAATATTAAAGCCTAACAGAGCGGAGCGGCGTGGCGCGGCGTGCTGCCAGCGCGAGAAGCTAACTGGCGCCTACAAACCTAAGTGGATACTTCACGCATTGCACAATGCTTGAAGTATCCACTTAGGTTTGTATAGGCGCCAATGCGCGTGTCGCGCTGGCCGCCTGCCCGCCGTGCGGCGGCGCGCGGCGCCTGAAGCAACTATTTCACAACAGAGGTGTTGCACAGTATTATACGAAATTGAACGTATTAAGAATGACATGCATCCTTTAAAAGTATAGATCTTTCCTCGCAAAATAAATCAAATACTTATCGTACATAGGAAAAATCTAAGAGCCTTTGAGGCAAATATAGAAGTTTCTCCGGTTCGGGTACAACATGGTGGGAATTTCTTAAAAGATAATTAAGTCCTGTTACACCAAAGAGGTGTAGAGAGTTTTAGTAAATTTTGTCTCATGGAATTGACGCTCCCCCATTTTTACCAAAACACTCAACTATATATTATTCTCCGTTGGACCATACAGACAAAACAAAAAAACAAGCAAATCCTCATTCTTCCAAGACATTATACATTTTCATCCAAAAACGCCGTGAGCTATTTTCGTTTGTATTTACAAGTGGGCCAATTAACTGTGAGTCTCAACTGGCACGTGGACCAAAACTCCCGTGCCGAAAAAACGCGTGGACGTAAATTACTGGAAAAAACAGGTGCGCAGACAAAAAATCGTTAACGAAATGTCCTATAACCTAACTTTTTAAATATTTTCAATGCGTGAAGCATTGATTTCCTGCTTCAATGAATTTTCACTTAAAATGAGGTAGCATGTATTGACACCTCTCTACGGTGAAACTCCCAAACCGCACGTATATCTCAGTTTGTGACATTGCAGACTTCCTCAGCGTGACATCATTGAGGGACAAAGAGCGAAAAATCCTGAATTGGACGTATTCATGCTATTAAAGGAGCTACGTGTCAGTGGAAAGATGGGATGTGCTCGTGCAAGCTGCATAAGATACAATATAAAAAAGGATATAGTTCCTTTTCAGAGAATGGAAAAGCGGGATTTTGCATTAAATCAAAAGGAACTGAGCGCCAAAATATGCTGACTCATGAGCCGCGGGCATGTGACAAGAGCCCATAGAGTACATAGAGTCATAATGTAAATGGGAGAGCTGGCGCCATGTTCTGCTCGAC